TCCAGGACTTAACAAGGAATACATTGCAGTGGAGAAGCTCATTTGGCTCTATAACTCACCAGCTACACACTGCTGGAGTGGAATACAGATGGGGCACACCAAGGTCTCTGACTGTGGTCAACAACAGTGTCACGATGAAACTTACCTGCCTGTCAGACGCTGCTTTATTCCTCTACTCACCGAGCTATACCCAAAGCCCCAGAATATTGTGGAACCTACCACCTCCCACAGGTGGAACCCTGCAAGGACTGTCCCGTTTACACCACACAGAGGCGAGAGGCTGGGGGCAGCCACTTGAAATACTCTCCAACAATCTAGCATTTACCAAATTATATTGTTTTAAATTGTTTTGCATTTATGTTTTTTCCTTTCTATAACTTATCGATAACTCTGACACACTGTTCCCTAACCAGGCACATATGGACCGCAATGTAGGTCCTCTCGCCAAACAGAGTATCCAGTCCTATGCCATAAGCTCAAATTGACTCCCAAACTTTTTACTCTCTCCCCACCCCACCAAGGCTCCCATTGGTTAGGAGTTGTAAATCGTCTTGTGGAACAAGTAGGTTCCGGGCACCCGTTTTATCCCCAATAAGCAGTTCCCCAAACATTAGATCAGATCAAGCAACACACAAGGGCACAGAGGCGATAGACCCTGTCCCCCTGATATCGGACTGAAGTCACAAATCTTGGTCTGCGATATGGAAGCCCAACAACCCTCCTGGCACAACATGATTTCCTAAATAATACCAGAGGTTGTTGTCTAGATAGGGTTATATGTAATGACACTGAAATTAGGCATGTCTCAGAGGGTGGTCCCCTATTATAACCTGCTTAACACACATATGGCTACACTCATAGCTGAGATTTACATCTTGTACACACTGTTTCAGATCTATTATAGCATATCACACTTAGTCTCTCAGCAATAGTACCTTCATATCGGATACTGGCACCACTCTGCTAGTGTTTAGCTCGGCATAGCCACTCTAAGAATAGCTTGTTTCTTACAATTCTATAATAATACATAAAAATGTGTAATGTGATCCCATGCCACATACCTGTTTTATATATGTCTTTTGGAAGCCTGCACCAGCTGTTGTGGCGATGCAAGCTCACATGTATGCATTCTGCACTACCAAAATAAAGATTTTTTTTTTAAATGCCTAGCACCTGCTATCTGGACTCATGGGGGTTATCCCGGTCCAAAACCTGGTGCCGACCCACACACCTTTGCTGCATCTGTCGGTTCCCACGGAGCTGACTACCTGCGACCAGTGGACCACCAGGGAGAAACCCATAGCTCTCCAAACTCCCATGACTTTGGCTCACACGAAGAGCTCCTTCATAGGGTATTTGAGCACATGTGGTTGCAATTTTGGCTCAGAATTGAACGTCGAAAGGCAGAGGGGTAACTAGAAACCACGGGGCCCAGGAGCGAAAACTGCCATGGGGCCCCCCCCATACATCTACCCTCCCATACGTTACCCCCTCCCACACATGCAGACAAACAGATACACATGCAGACACACACACAGACACACACATATGTACATACAGACACACATACATACATACAAACACGCACATACATACAGATACAGAGACACATACATACAGAGACACAAACAGACACACACACATACAAACACACAGTCACACACATACATGTATACACACACATACAAACACACACAGACACATACAAACACAGAGAGACATACACACAGACAGACACACATACATACAAACACACATACAGAGAAACATTCATACATACACAAACACGCACACATACATACAAACAAACACACACATATACAAAATATTTTAGTCATCTTCCTGTTTCCTACATTTTAGGTGCAGGAGGGTGACTTTCCCTGGGGTCCAGTAGTGGCTCAGCCTGATGGGAGTCAGAGTTTCCACTCTGAATCCCTCCTCTTCCTCCCACGCGGCTCCTGGTCGTTGCTGGGAGGAGTGACCTAGGCAGTCACTTCCTCCAGCTTTGATGTCATCATAGGGGGCCTGGTCGCGCTGTTAAAGTGCCACAGCGCTGACCAGGCCCCCTGGAAATGGGCCACCCAATGGACCCCTTAACGTGTAGCCCCGGCGGTAATACCACACGGTCCAGGGCCACAACACATGGCGGCGAGCTCCGTGGTTGCAGGGGGTGGCCCGGCGCCCTGGAGTGGCGGGCCCGGTGGCAGCTGTGACCGCGGTAGTTCTGCCACTGTCGAAGGGTGAATTCTGAGGCAACAGCTACAGTAAAGCCGGATCACTGAAGGCGGCACCGACACGTTCCTGCTGTGCATGCACATTAAAAATAAAGAATTACAAAAAAATAACATGTGAAGGGTTATTCTAGTGAAAAAAACAGGGTGAAAATTAATGAATTCTGAAAAAATCAGGTCACTTGATTATTTGTAGTGCTATTTGCCCACTTGCAGCTTTAGCAGCCAGCGGGCAAATAGTTAAAAACCATCTATAATGCAAGTGTTCATTATGTGACGGCTGTCATCACATAAAAAAAAGTCTTTAAAAATTAATTAAAAAGCCATGTTGGGCAACATTACAAAATGTTTAAAACTAGCGACTGGAAAGCCATGGTTAGAAAGGCACTATCCCATTGGAGGGGAATCACTGTACATCCCCCTGCTCCACCCATGACCATGGGGCAGTGGTGTATCCTGGTTTTGTGCTGCCCTAGGCAGGACAAAACTGAGGTGCCTCCCCCTCTCCCGCGCCAGCCCCACCCAACCCTTCCCACCTGCCCCACCTTCTAAATAAACACACACACACTGACAGATATGCATACACTAGCTAACAGACATACACACTCACTAACAGACACACACACTCACTAACAGACACACACTCACTAACAGACACTCACTAACAGACACACACACACTCACTGACACACACACACTTACTCACTAACAGACACACACTAACAGACACACACTCACTCACTAACAGACACACACACTCACACATTAACAGACACACACACTCACTCACTAACAGACAAACACACATTCACTAACAGACACACACACTAACAGACACACACACTAACAGGCAAACACACTCACACTCACTAACAGACACACACACACACACTAACAGACACACACACACACTCACTAACAGACACACACACTAACAGACACACACACTAACAGACAAACACACACACACTAACAGACACACAGACACACACAGACACACACACACACACTCACTTTTTTTTTTAGACTCCTTACCTTTGGGAATGCTGGGGGGGCGTTCTCCCTCTCCCTGGGGTCAAGTGGGGCTGCTGGGCGGTCGGCGCTGGTAGCGCTGGCGAGAGAGCACTTTCCCCTGAGCTGTCTGCTCAGCTCCCTGACGTCATATTTCCGCTCCGGGCATCACTCTGCGGTGCGTGAGGAAGCTGAGCAGACAGCTCAGGGGAAAGTGCTCCCTCGCCAGTGCCGCCCTGGCTTGTCAGTTAGCCGCAAGGTAACCCTATACACAAATAAAGATGTATTACCAGGCCTTAGAGTGGGCGGACTTAACATATATAAAAATATACAATAAAAGGTAGAGAATATTTGTACAGGCCTAGGTCAAAGCTGGAGACAGGGAGATACACGATAATGCAAAGCCAAGGGTCAAGGATACCAGAATAAAGGATTGTCAAAATCCAAAGTCAGATACCAGAAAAACCAATAATACAAAACGCACTGTCAGGCTAAATACCAGGCTAAATACCAAGACAGGTCAAGGAAGTGATGTCAGGGAAAGGTGTGTGATGATAGGCTAGTTAAATAATTAGGGTAATTAGTGCAAAGGCAAAAAAAATTATTTAGCCCATAAGTAATTTGGGCTACTTTCATTTGAAATTTTCAAACAGGTAAGCGAACGGACATGTTTTCAGACATATGCCCGCTAGCGCGTATTTCCATGCGTGCGCACACACGTGATGTCAGCTAAATATCGGGATGTGGCATGAGAGGTGAGCCAGTGTCTGCTGAGGCACAAGGATCAGAGCAGTGTGGGCTGAGAGGAGGTATGAGAGAGACATTGGGTCCTTACCCATATTTATAATATAGCTCCCCCACTGCCCATGGATGGGGACATTAGTTCACCCATTATAGTATAAATAAAGCCCCATCTGTGGCCAATGCGTGAGGGCTGGATTGGGGATATTACGGCCCCATGGTATAAAATTAGACTTGAGATTTTGTCTTTAATGAGATGTGAAATATTTGTCTTCGTGATTTATTTATGGTAGCATATGATCTATTAAAAGTGCGTTGCCCACTGAAATTAACTCAGAAACAGAACAATGTGTATTTTTATGTACACATAAGGAAAGAACATACAATTTCGACTATGGATTTTAGTAATCTACATTCTTCTCTTATGATGCCGTGGCAAATCTTTATAAAATCAATGTTATGCTTCAGTGGGATTTCAAACAATTTTCAATGATAGGTAGGCTTCTTACGTAAATAACAACATGTATCTAGATGACTTGTGTTTCACCCTAATTGTTAAGCTAACTCCTGCCCCAGGTTAGAGTAAATTTTAAACTGTGTTGTTGCCCCGACAACATCCTAACAATTGAATGTAATGCACACCTTGATTTTCCAACAAATGAAATAAAATCTATTAAGTAAATAATGCAACATGATTCACCTGCGGGTTTTCAACATCATTCTGGTTTAGTTTCGGTTACGTGACAAACAATCTGAGCTCTGAGCTCTTAGATCGGTAACTAGAACGTTTCCAAAAAATACTGAAAGCATTTTGATCAATATAACTTAAATGCTACACCTTTTTAAATATGCTCTATAGAGTGAAAATACACTTTTCATCTAACGTAAGTATTTAATATGATCAAGAAACTCACTGCTTTAATGATAAAATTAAAAGAGAAAAAAGATACTCAATAAGACACATGAAGATAGAACAGCCATACCAAGAAAAATATGGATGAACATGATGAACATGAAGACAGGGCCAGATTAAGAGCCCAGTGGGCCTGGTGCTGACAATTATGACGGGCCTAATTACAGAATCATTTCGACCAAAAACAGTAAAACACTCCCAAGCGTCATGTATCTGATGGAGATGGTGCTGGAGAGAAAGAAAACAGCAGCTATAAGAAAACACATACCCTAGGCTAATCTCTCTCTAATTTATGTTTTCATCTTTCAAGTAAATCCATTACCCCTAACAGCAGTGTCCAATCAAGCAGGAAGTCAATGGGCACGGTAAAAGTGTGTGCCACTGACACAAATCACGTAACCTGCCAAAAGGGGCGAACATGCCCAAAAAGAGGGTATGTCTGCCCAAAGAATTAGAAGGCCAGACTGGCATAAATGCATGTCAGGATGCCTGCCAATCATGCAGCTGGCCAACTAAGGGCATACAGCACCCTGAGCTTGGCATAAATGCATCTAATGATGCGCTCACTCAACGCTTTCTAAGGACTGTCCCCTAGCACTCGCTGGTCCACTTGTCTTCTTACCTTCTTACTAGCAGGCAGAAGTTCATGGTATATAGTCTGGGACAGAGAAAGGTGTATATAGTGAGTGTAGAAGAAATGGAACATGCCACAGTGTTAGAGAGACCAAAGTCAGCAATACCTTAAAGGATCACTTTAACACAAACATGAATTCATGACCCTATAGTGTTAACACCACCATCTAGCCCCCCTGGGCTCCTCATGCCTCCATAAATATAGCAAAATCTTACTATATTCAAGCCTGAAGCTGTAACTCTGCATGCTGTTAGACTCATAAAAACAAGCAGTCTGCTGACATCATTAGAAGTGGTGGCCTGATCCAATCACAGTGCTTCCCCATAGGATTGGCTGAGACTGGCAAAGAGGCAGATCAGGGTCAGAGCCAGTATGATTCAAACACAGCCCTGGCCAATCAGTATCTCCTCATATAGATGAATTGAATTAATGAATCTCTATGAGATAAATTCAGTGTCTGCATGCAGAGGGAGGAGACACTGAATGTTTGGGTGCATGTTAGGCAGCCATGACCCAGGAAGGATCTCTAACAGCCATCTAAGGAGTGCCCAGTGAAGTTATCACTAGGCTGTAATGTAAAGACTGCATTTTCTCTGAAAAGACAGTGTTTACAGCAAAAAGCCTGACGGTAATGATTCTGCTCACCACATACACATACATTCTACTCACCAGAACAAATTCAATAAGCTGTAGTTGTCCTGGTGACTCTGGTGTCCCTTTAACTATATTCATTGTCAGCCAGTGCACACAAGTTTTGTTCCCATACATCCCTCTTAAAGGACCACTATAGTGCAAGGAAAACATACTCGTTTTCCTGGCACTATAGTGCCCTGAGGGTGCCCCCACCCTCATGGACCCCCTCCCACTCTGGAAGGGGGAAAGGGGTTAAAACTTACCTTTTTCCAGCGCTGGGCGGAGAGCTCTCCTCCTTCTCTCCTCCTCCGTTCCTCCTCCTGGGCTGAATGCACACGTGCGGCAAGAGCTGCGCGCGCATTCAGCCCGTCGCATAGGAAAGCATTTACAATGCTTTCCTATGGACGCTTGCGTGCTCTCACTGTGAAAATCACAGTGAGAAGCATGCAAGCGCCTCTAGTGGCTGTCAATGAGACAGCCACTAGAGGATTAGGGGGAAGGCTTAACCCATTCATAATTATAGCAGTTTCTCTAAAACTGCTATAATTATGAAAAAATGGGTTAACCCTAGAAGGACCTGGCACCCAGACCACTTCATTAAGCTGAAGTGGTCTGGGTGCCTAGAGTGGTCCTTTAAGTAAGAGTATGTGAAAAGTAGTTAGGGTTGCCACCTTTCTTGGAACAACATACCGGCCTTACTAATTTGCATAATTAAATATGTATGGGTGACATCACATGATGTAAATCACAAGGAGTAACATAAGAGAAAATTCTGTAAAATCACCAAAAAACTACTTAGTTTGATTCTGCTGTATAGATGGATTCCTCCCAGTGCCCCCCTGTGTCGATTACTCCAGGTCTCAGTGTTCCTATGTATCACAGTGTCTCAATGCCCCATGTCTCCCTGTGTCCCCATGTATCCCAGGGTCCCCATGTCACTAGGACACTAGGAAGACGGGGAGACCTGGGGACACGGGGAGACCTAGGGACAAAGAGACACCAGTGACACTGGGAGACTAGGGGGACACATGGGGACAATGGGAAAATAGGGGACACTTGAAGACATGGGGACACAGACACCAGGGCCATGGACACTAGGGACACTAGCTTGGAGACATGGGGACATTGTGACACTTGAGGCACTGAGAGACATGGAGGCACTAGGAGACATGGGGACAGTGAGACACTGGCAGACTGGGGGCACTGGGAGACTAGGGGTCACTGGGAGACTAGGGGGCACTGAGACACCAGGGACACTGGCTGGGAGACATGGGGACACTGTGTCCCCATGTGTCTGTGTCATAATGTCTCCCAATGTCCCTTAGTGTATGTCTCCTTGCAGCCTCCCCCCCCCTCCCCCCCCATCCCTTACTTCCCTGAGCTGTAGGCTGTCTCTGCAGCGTGGAAGTTGCTGTCTGGACTCTCTGTAGCTGCACCCCTGCAGATTAGTGAGTATAGATAGGCAGGGAGGGATATGCTGGAACTTCCTATCCCTGCCTGTCTCCACATACAGGGACCCCTACTGGCCAGTGCTGGTATTGCATAGTAATCTCTTGTTTATAGTGAGAAAAATACCAGCATTTGTATTGCCAGTATCACTGCAATATTGGCACTAGCCAGGCAGCCTCAAATACTGGTTGTGCCAATAAAATAAAAGCCAGGTGGAATTCCTAAGAGTAGTGTGTGAAAAAAAAAATGTGAAAAAAAAGCTTTAATAAAAATAAAAATCTTTTTTTTTAAATCAATGGGCGTATTCCATGGGCCTGGGCCTGGAGCTGCAGCTCCATCAGCCCCTATGTTAATCCGGCCCTGCATGAAGACACTCCAGACTGACTGCAGTCACACGTTTTAAATAATATTTTAACTTGGGGAAAAATAGCCCTACAAAAAATGGCTATTTTTTTTTAAGCCAGAATGGATTCTACAAAGCAGACATCCATTTCCTTTATTTTTTTCAATAGCAGAAAATGAATTAAACAAGGTAAAACAGAGAAGAAAGAACATACTGTGAACTGACACCATCGAGAACTTGTTATTACAGATGATTTTGAAAATGAATAAAAAATATTGACAGTTGATGGATTTTTTTTTTTTAGCTATGAGATGATTACGTGTTGATTAGAATAAGAGCTGCAAGTCCATAATTATTCGTTGATGTGTTGGCTTGTGTGTTTACTGAACTAATTTCAAAAAAATTGTAAAAACTTTAAAAATAAATAAATTGTGTTTACAGTTTTTTTGTGTGTGGAACCAAGCATACAATTGGTCCATTACAATGAAGGACTGGCGGTACAGCCCAGATGAGAAGTAAGGCTCATAAGTCATTAAAGGAACACTATAGTCACCTAAATTACTTTAGCTAAATAAATCAGTTTTAGTGTATAGATCATTCCCCTGCAATTTCACTGCTCAATTCACTGTCATTTAGGAGTTAAATCACTTTGTTTCTGTTTATGCAGCCCTAGCCACACCTCCCCTGGCTATGATTGACAGAGCCTGCATGAAAAAAAAAATTACTGGTTTCACTTTCAAACAGATGTAATTTACCTTAAATAATTGTATTTCAATCTCTAAATTGAACTTTAATCACATACAGGAGGCTCTTGCAGGGTCTAGCAAGCTATTAACATAGCAGGGGATAAGAAAATCTTAATTAAACAGAACTTGCAATAAAGAAAGCCTAAATAGGGCTCTCTTTACAGGAAGTGTTTATGGAAGGCTGTGCAAGTCACATGCAGGGAGGTGTGACTAGGGTTCATAAACAAAGAGATTTAACTCCTAAATGGCAGAGGATTGAGCAGTGAGGCTGCTGGGCCATGTTCTATACACCAAAACTGCTTCATTAAGCTAAAGTTGTTCAGGTGACTATAGTGTCCCTTTAACAAGTTATAGTCCTTGAATTTTGACATATGCGTGCATTCCTTTTGGGTGTTAGGTAATTATGTCTGAGCCATAAGTATCAGCTCATTATCCAACAGGAGATTGCTTAGCTTTCCCAATTGTCAGCCAAGGACCGGTGCATTGCTTTAAATTTAATTATAGTAATTATGTATATTTCTATATTTTAATTGTGGTAGTAAAAATACACAAATTTACAAAGTATTAATAATAAACTACTCAGAAAATCTGAATAATTGAATTGTATAACCATGTTAAAACTAAAGCAAATAGGGTTAATTCAATAAGCCAGGCCTCAACGAAGATCACAACCTGGGAGCCATATCATTTGTTTCCGACATGAAGAAACTGTTTAGTTCTGTGAATGCAAGGCTCACCCAATAACATGCAGATCTACGCATATTGCAGCTACGTCACACGGAGCACACATTAATGATAGCAATATAAATTGTAAGAGTAAAAAGACACAAACACACTTTTTTCAAGATTTAATGCTTTCTGGACCAAATCGTGGCAGCAGAAAGACAGAAAAAAAACTGCAATTGTGAAATTTGGATTATTAGTACGGTCCACACGCTATCAGACATTATTTATATTTGATGTAACTAAAAAGTACAATAAAAATAAAAATAAGAATAAAAAAGTCCAAGGTAATAGTCCAGCTCTGGTATGAAGTGCGTGAAGTGGAATGATTCCCACTCAAGGATATATGGAGCAATAACTTGTAGAATAGGTGGTCCATCGAGGATTCCGACAATGTATTGAGCAATCCTCTTTGCTCAATTTTTAGCGTATGGGTGGTATAATCCCCACCTAGGGATTTTCCGTAAATTCGTGTTGGTTCAAGTTAGTAAGGTATAGGAATAAAAATAGTTAAAAAACAGGAATGTGGCAATAAAATATTTGAGGCCAAAATTCCTTTATTATAACAATATAAATAAACTATTAAAATAAATTCTAAACGCGTTTCGCCCACAACAGGCTTCTTCAAGTAGAATATAGTAGAAACAGTAACCTGACTAACAATGCTTTATATAGGCAGGGGCGTACCTAGAGCATTTGGCACCCGGGGCGGGTCCTGTGCTTGGCACCTCCTTGCCCCCAAGCCCCGCCCCCAGCACCAGTTTGGCCCCGCCTCCGATTTTGCTTA